CCCGACCCTTCCCTTCCACTGCCGCCACGCCACGCCGTGCCGCCCCGCCCCGCCCCGCCGTGCCGCGCCTGCCCGCCCCGCCGTGCCGTGCCGTGCCGTCGCACCGCTCCGATGCCAGCCGAGCCGCCCCGAGCCGCCCCGCGGTCCGTCCGGGCCCGGCCCGTCCCGTCCCGCCTCGCTCGGCTCGGCTCGACTCGGCTCGGGGGCTGTGGCGCTGGCTGCGCTGGCGCTGCCGCTCCGCTCGCCTCGCTCAGTGCTCCGCTGAACGTGGCGGCAGCTACTTCCTCCCCTAAAGCTCGCGACGCGCGCGCACACTCACAGAGCCGTGCCGCTCGCCGACGCCCAGCGCCGCGACGCCGCCGCACAGCCGGCCCCACCCTTCCTCTCCGCACCGCCGCGCCCCGGCCCCGGCCAGCGCCAGCGCGGGAGGTTTGACTGTCAGCGACACCGGCGGTCAGTCCCAGCCTTTAGTCGTCTAGACTTGTTGCCTTGGGGACCACCTCGGCCCTTGCCTTCGGTCTCACCGCTGTACTGGATTGTTGCCTTCTTGTCGCTGCGATTGCATGCACTAAGACACCCGCTGCTTCATATTTTGTGGAGAGTTAGCGATTATTGTACCCATTCTTGTGATTAATTATTTTATTTTCTAGACGTTTTATTTTCTAGTTTTAGCTTAAGCTGACAGTGTTCGAGTGTATTAACACGTTTGCAGCTTGCAGTTCGCCGTAACATCACGTCCGTTGCTAGAGACCGTATCACGTTTGCGTTTTAATTTTTATGATTATTATTTTTATTAAGTTGCTAATTGTTATTTTAAAGTATTTGTTTAACGCCTTTGAACAGTTTGCTTTGTTGTATTTTTTTGTGTGTGGTTTTGCTTTCCGTTTTTTTTTTTGTTTTTTGTTTTAGCTGTTTCTTTATTTTATCTTCTGTACTAACCCCTCGGCACGGAGCTCTGTTCTGCAACGGACATCCAGTTTTGGTTTCCACCGCTTCGAGTGAGTAGTCTTCCCACCTAATCCTAGATCCTAGTCGTAGTAAAGTGTAATTAGTGTAACAAGCTCCAGGTTGTCACGTGATCG